TTTCTTCCTTCCTTCCTTCCTTCCTTCCTTCCTTCCTTTCTTTTCCTTCCTTCTTTCCTACATTTTTTCCTTTTTCTCCTCTCCCTTCTTTTTCTGTATCGCTTTCATTCTTCTTTATTTTTAAAAAATCATAATGCATACTTAGGATGCTCCAAAGCACCTTTCTGTATCTGGCTCCAATATGCCTCACAGTCCTGTTAGATATGTTAGGACACAGTTCAGTTTTGACAGTAGACAGCAGAGACTAACAAACATGAACTCCTGTTGATCGCTGCCTCAAATATTTTATAATACAGATTAAAGCACTGATACGAAATTGTCCAAAACCAATGCCTTATCGTTGCCTGGCCTGTCACACCCAAAGAATAACTTTGGCTTGTTTACTGTATAGTCTGAAAGCAACTGCTGAGTTTACTATCTGAAATGCTTTGCCTCAGTGGGGAGTAAATTTACTCCTTGCTGCCAAAGCTGAAGGGTGGAATGTGGCACATGGAAAGGATTTCTCAGAGTTCACTCTGAGAGGCCGACCATGCCTCTGTCTCAGCTGATGTTCTGAAGCTTCAGGCATTCTGGTGGGGCAGTGACAAGATGAGTATTAGCATAGTTGGCAAGGCAAAGAGATGACCTCCTGGTTGTTCCAGATCTCATTTCGTGTAATCCAGGCCTCTGGAAGGTTGGTAGAGCTCCAATCAAATGGTCTACATTCCACCTTGATATGCCTATGCACCAATCAGCGGGTGGTGTTATGCATTGGATTCCATAGGATGCAAGAAAAAATGTAAGAAAAAAGTAGCTCAGTACTGTATCTCTCCTAACCATCTTAGATTAGACGAAAGGAAACCACAATTGCTGCGGTTAACTTTGTTACTGAATGAGTCTATTTCATGGATTCACATAATTCATTTGTTTCTAATTTCTAAGCATTGGATTCATATAACACAAAGAAGTCCCTGCGGATTTTACTCCACTACTTATTGCCACCTATAGGGGGCAGTGCTCATCTCCATTTCAAGGCCATTGAGCCAACGCTGTCTGAAGCCATTCCCGGGGTCCTGTGGCCAGCATGATGTCATGAAGCATTGTTACCTTCCCATTTAAGTGGTATCTATTTATCTACTCACATTTACATGCTTTCAAACTGCTAAATTGGCAGGAAGTGGGACAAGGACAGGAGTTCACCCTGTCATGTGGCGCTTGGATCTTGAACCTGGGCGGCTGGCTTTCCAGCCAACAAACCCAATGTCTTAACTGCTGAGTCAATGCCCTTCATGGAACATGGAAACTCACAAAAACTATGTTCAAATTAAATAATTTGCATGTCGTGAAAGTGCAATAACAACCAGTTCACCGACAAATGCGCGCTCGACAAAAGCGTGCTGACGAAACCGCGGAAAAAACCGCGAGTTCGAAATCGCGGCGACAAATGAGCGCAGAAGCACACCGACAACAGCGCGCCGACAGAAGCGCGCTCTAAACCTAACCCTAAACCCAACCCTAACCCTAACCCTAACCCTAACCCTAAACCTAACCCTAACCCTAACCCTAAACCTAACCCTTACCTTAATCGTAATCGCACTTCTGTCGGCGCTCTTTTGTCGGCGCACCTTTGTGGGCGTGCTGTCGACGTCGCGGTTTTATCGCCACGGTTTTGTCGGCGTGCTGTTGTCAGGCGCGCATTTGTCGGGTCACGATAACAACCTAACAGGTTGCATGAATGCAGCCATTTTAGAGAGCCTTTGAATGCAACCTAATCAATGTTTGCACAATTCTTGTGACATATTTACAAAAAATATGCATGAAACAAATGTATGAATTATGTTAAAGGAAATTGCTCCAAAATTGAGCACTGGGACAAAGCTGCCTGAACACATTAATACAAATATTTGTAATTTTCTTTTAAAATCTCAAAGCAATTAGAAAAGAAGACAAACATAAGGATGATAACAAACTGAATTAGGCTAAGATAATTTCATCCAACCCTAGAGCAGATCTCACCTTGCCTGCTCTGAGGTCTTCAACATGTGGACGATGCAGTCTCTATAGGGACCTCAAGACATGGGTAACAGATTTTTTTTTTAAGATCTGGGCTTGTCAAACTGTATAGGTCCTGGGGGCTCCTCTAAAGTTTGCTTTTCTGAAGGGGTCAAATTTTACTAAAACACTGAGGATGTGGTGATCTTATGAGATTTCAACCATTTAAATTTTTTATGAAATTTTGGTTGGGTGACTGCTGATACCACTTTCTAGTGCAGTTGCTTCTTCCAGCCAGTTATGTTGATGACCCCTATTTTATAGTATTCTGCTTCAGCTGCTCACTTTTTCTGGAGAGTCAGAAATCATAGAACATTGTGGCCATAGCAAATACCCTATTCCATCAATAATAATGATTAATTTTAGTGTTCAACATTATTTTTTAATAGAGAATCTATGCAAGAGGGGTAGATATTTTCTATGGTCACATCAGTTTTCATGCTGAATATAGTTTTCTGTCAACTCAAGGAGGAGTGGATAGCACTTCAGTTCAGCACTCTGAATCTGGCAATACAATTCTTTGTTCATAATATTATCAATAAACATTTAAAGAGACATGTCCATGTATGTACTTTTTATAATGTACAGGCTTATGCCAAAATAGGACCCAGTAGACCTATGTATGTGACACTTTAATGAAACGATAGACAAAGCAATGAGACTTTTAGTTGGGGAATCCTAATTGATNCCCACTAGTGGGCGGTAGGGACCAGGTTGACTACCACTGATCTATATTAAAAGATATGTATGTGTTGTGAATTTGTGCAATATACCATAATGTAGCCTTTCAAAAATACATCCATACATTTCTAGTTTTTTTTATATAAGCCATTTTATACAATTTTATACAAGTCATCAGGTACCAAAGTTCATCATTCCCAGTCTAAAACAGTTTAAAAGATTTTGTAGAACTTGAACCAATGCAGGTTTCACTGCCTCCCCCCCCCCCAGTAAGGAAAAATAGACATTTCACATTTCATTGGAAATGCTAACTAGCCAGCTAGATAACAATAACTATATACGTATATAGATATACATTAATGGCAATAAACCTTCTGGTTTGAATCTTGTATGGTTTCCTACTGCCACCATACATGTACAGAGCGAAAAAGGAGTACTATTATACATAATGTACAGTATATGATGTTTTCAGTCCAGCAACTTTTAAATATTCCAATCTCTTCAGAGGACCTCCCATGGAAAATAGAAATATAATGAAGTAATAAGGGCAGGGCTATGCATCCAAGTTAAAGATTAATTCAGGCAAATAATAAAATTACAGGCCCATAAATTTAGTTGTTTATCTTTCATAACCTGTTCCATTGTATTCCATACATTCTCACTCCACACTCTCACTCTTCTGCACGTTTGCATAATGCTTCTAAACTGTGCTCCAACCCCAATTTTCAAACTATGAAAAACATTAATACCTGTATCCATCAAATGATAGGAATGTTGGAAAAGAGGGAGGAGCATTCGGACGGTCAGCATGTATGATATGTTCCTTTAAATTAAAACTATCATTCAGAGATCACTAGATAGCGTCTCTCCACATTCTTTATCAAGCATAATATTTGATTGCCTCAACTCCAAATGGGGCTGGAGTTTGTCCTCGAAAGAAGTCTTCAGACTGAATCTAATGTTTCTAGCAAATTTCCTCAATTGCACTTCTAAATCCTCACGGGCCAGCAGGTATAACAAAGGGTTCAGGACACTATTCAGGCTAGCCAAGACTCGAGTCACTTGGTAGAAGATATAAATATTCTTTAAAGTCTGGTTGCAAAATCCCTGACATTGCCATCTTCGAGACAAGAAGTTAAGGTTCCTAAAGATATGATATGGGAGGAAGCACACGTAGAAAAGTGTCATTACCATAATCACCAGCTTGATGCTCTTCTGCTTGAGGTTAGGATCCATGTTCTTGTTCCTCCTGAGGACAAGGACCACATGACAATAGCACCCAGTGACAATGAAGAAAGGAATAGCAAAGCCAGTCACTGTTAAAATTTGAAAGTATAACAGATAAGTCTCCAGGTATTTGTGTTCTGTTGAGTCATGGCACTTGTCGGACATGTGACCCCTTTTGTTAAAAGTTAAATCAGGAGAAAGTTGAATCGTGACCCAGAGCCAGACCAAAACACTCAGAAAGACAGAAAAGCCAAGGTTCTGGCATCTTCCTATCATCTTCATTGGATGGACAATATGCAGGTAACGATGGACACTGATGCAGGTCAGAAAGCCAATGCTGGCATAAAGGTTGACATGGAAGAAAAGTCGAGTTAGCTTGCACCAGCTTTGGCCAAAGACCCACACATGTCCCCCAAGATAGTAGGACACAAAGAAGGGCAGTGTAATCACATAAGACAAGTCTGCAAATGCTAAGTTACACAATAGCACATTGAAAGGGTTCCAACTTTTCTTCCGTGAGCTTCTGCACAAGGACCACAAGCCCAACGTATTCCCCAAAAGACCCAAGACAGAGAGGATGAGGTAGAAAGTGGGCAGGAACCATTGGGTGAAATCTATATTAACTGGGCACAAATCATCAATGTCACAAATAGAGTTGTTGGTGGAGTTGTTGACTTGATTGCCCACTTCTTTCATCACGGTCAATGCTGAGCCTTGGAGGAGACAAGAGAAAGTGGGGGGATGGACCTACACAAGGGGCGTGTTCTTTGAGGCAGGTAGGGAGCAGTTCACTTGAGTGGGTGCAGGATGGAATTGAGGAATTTCTCAAAGGAAATCATCGGGAGAGGGAATGCCTGGAGGAAGAAATGGGGATGCCAACAGCGGAGAGGCTTCAGAAGAGTAGACAGTGGAATTAAACCTTGTCCGGGCGTGGACGGTGGATGCAGAAGCGAGTTTTGCCAGCGGAAAGAAAGCGACGAGGCTTCAGAAGACAGACAGGTGCCAGTTTGGAAACTCTGCGAAGGGAAGAAAAAGCCACGTGGAGTCCCTTTTCCCCGTGGAAAGGCTGCAAACCATTCGAAGGTGGCGCAAGAGAGGGACGAAGAGAGGGGAAGATGCAGGATAACTCCACGGTCCGGGTCCCGAGCTGCAGGTCGGCCGTCGAACCCGGTCTTCGAGACGTCTGGAGCTCCGGAGAATGGACACGCGTCCGTCTGGCTCGGCAAAACGGGGAACTCCGCGGATGAGAGTACCCGCGACCACCCCAGGATCCAGCGCTGGGCGGGCAGGCAAAGCCAGCGGTAGCCGAGCAAAGCTTCGCGGCGCTCGGAGAAAAGCTGCGCTCGAAGAAGGCGGGATGGGGTGGGGTGGGGTGGGGTGGGGTGAGTCCGGACAGGACGGAAGACGAAAAGGAGAGGTTGAAACCGAAAGTGAACGCGGTGCTTAGTCGCGGAGAACGAGAAGGAGCGGAGCCGGGCAGGAGCAAAGGGAGGGTGGTTGTCATAGGACTTAACAGTAGCATCCTTGTGAGTTTCTCTTTTGGACCGAAGGGGCAACTAGCCGAACCGTCGGCGGTTCGGCGGTTCGAATCCCTGGTACAGGTCTCCTACGTGAGCAGGGGGTTAGACCAGATGACCTCCACGGTCCCTTCCAACTCTGCTACTGTTGGTAACACCAGGAAAGGACAGGTGTCCTTGGCGGTTCCCGCTAAGCAACAAGCTATGACCGTGTGGCCAGGACCGCTGAAAAAAACATCAAGGCTTTTTACCGAAACTGAGAAAATGGATGGATGGATGGATGGATGGATGGATGGATGGATGGATGGATGGATGGATGGATGGATGAATGAATGAATGACTCTCGGGCGAAATCAAGCCAGAGGAACTGAAGCTTTATCCCGGTTGGATTGGACCTCGTCTCACTCAAACAGATAATAATCTATCGAACTGCTAAACTCGGAGAACACACCAGTGAAGCTTTTCCTTCAGGTCTTGGGTACTTAACCAGCCCAATGACGTTGATTCAGTCCTCCAGTAGTGGTGAGCAACACTCAAGCATTTCTCCGGTACTTTAAAAGAGAAAAGTGAGATTAAAGTAGTTTTTGGATTGCTACAGGTAGTCCTTGATTTACAACAGTTCATTAAGTGAGGACAGTGGAAAAAATGATTTACAACCTTTTTTTTTCCATAATGGTTGCAGCATCTCTACAGTTCATATGATCAAAATTCAGTTGCTTGGCACCCAGTTCGTATTTATGACTTTGTGGTGTCCTGGGATTTTGTGATCACTTTTTGCAACTGCCTGACAAGCTGAGTCAATATGGAAGCCAGATTCACTGAACAACCATGTCACTATTTTAACAATTGCAGTAATTCACTTAACAAGTCAGGCAGTTTCTAAATCCAATGAGGAAAAAAAAAGAAATAATTGGGCCTTTTCTGTCTAATCCATAAATAGGTATGTGAGAAAACATAATTATCTCCAGGTGTGAATCTCTGTGACTCCCTTGGAGTTGGGAAATCTTTTGTTACAAGGCCCAATTTAATTTGTAGCCCTATATCTCCAACTAATTATTCCCATGGCCTTACCCAAATAAGAACTGGAGACAAACTGGTTAGATCTATTTTACTTCTCACCTGGGTCTGCCAATAAGATCTAAAACAAAATCTACAAGTTCTGGACTTTGCAAACACCTTACTAGGGAAAGTATGTAAATATTAAACAGCAAAAAAGGTAAAATTCGAGACACTCCTCTCTATTGTAACTGCATTTGACATTTGGTGTCAATCATAATCGTGACATCACCAACAGAAGACAACTGTCACAGGAAGCATGTATAAGCTTATCCCATAATTATGGTCTAGATCCATGATGGTGAATCTGAGCCATTTCTGAGGGCACATGAGGCGTTGTCGTGTCAGCTTGAACAGGCATGCATGCGCTGGCCAGTTGATTTCAGCCTTGATTTTCAGCCAGTTTTTGCCCTCCGGAGGCTTCCCTGAAGCCTCCAGAGGCCAAAAAACAANATGAAATGACTAAAAAGGAAGATGTACTTTTCTCATGAGACACAGAAAATGCAGGCGCTGCTGTGCCTGCTTCACCAATGTCTCATTGTTCAGTGACCAAGCCAGTCTACTCGTTAGCTGCACAATATTAATTTTATTATAAAAATACAGTAACACTATGAATGTACTCCCCCCCCCCCGCACTTTATGTTCATGAAATCTAGGGGGAATCTTGTCTGAGATGTTTTCTCACTTTACAGTTCTACCCTAGAGTCAGGTTTCTTTTATCTGACTATCATCTTGGAAGTGGCTCTTTATTCTGTTTTTCAAAGCTATTTCCTTGAGCCACTCCATTACCTCTGCAACACACCCGGTAATTAATGATAGATTGTTATAACCTTTTTAACAACTAGAGTAAAATTATTCACAAAGAAGTCAGCTTTTGCTTTATTTAGCAAAAAGATTTATGATTTTGGCAGGCATGAATACTTGTAATCATTGTCCAGAAGCAAAACATCAAAGCAGTTGGCTCCATATAAGGTTTGGCCACAGGTAGGGATTATTTTATTATTACTGCTGACTCAATTACAAGGCAAGGTTTTGGGGGTTTTTTACACTGCACTACAAGCTGGTTCTGAATACTGGCTGCTCTCGTTCCCTAACCCACTGCAATTATTTGAAGGAAATATTTTGCCTCTCATACCACCCACCAAGGGACAACTAAAAATATTCTTCTTTTTAATTTTAGAATTATGCTTTTCACCACCATTCCCAGAATCTTTCGCCACTGAAATATAAATGCCAAAACTCTAGAATTGCATTGGCCCTTACTCTGCTAACCAATTCCTCCCTCCAGTTACCCAAATTTTGTAGGGTCAGGATCTGAATTGTTTCTACATCCATGCAGTCTCCTCATAAGATGAAAGCCTAATATCTCAGACATTTATTCATTCAATGTTTTATCCATTGCAATCAAGAATTTCCCCCCACATTTATGAATTCTACATTCTAGAAATGGAAACAGAGTTAACACTTGTCCAGAAATGGACAAGTTCATGGGGCAGAGCATACACAGAGGCTTTGCAATAATATCATATTATTATTCTATTCTATTCATAAGGTAACATCTCCTTCAAACTGACTGCAAGTAACTTCAAAAATATGTTGTTTTTATAGCTTGCCATTCTCTTCTTCTATGATTTTTTTTTAACTTCCAGTCCTCGGGCATATAACCTGCTCATGCTCTTCCTTGCTTTTTTATAGAGATAGTCCTCAACTTACAAGAGTTTGTTTAGTGACCGTTCAATGTTACAACAGCATTGAAAAAAGTGACTTATGACCATTTTTCACACTTACGACCATTGTAACATCCCCACGGTCACATGATCAAAATTCAGACACTTGGCAACTGGCTCATATTTATGATGGTTGCAGTGTCCCAGAGTCATATATGATTACCTTTTGCAACCTTCTGACAAACAAAATCAATGGGGAAGCCAGATGTACTTCACAACTGTGTCACTAATTTAACAATTGGAATGATTCATTTAACAACTGTAACAACATAATAAAATGGGCCAAAATTCACTTAAGAAATGTCTCACTTAGCAACAAAAAATTAGGCTCTATTATTGCCATTATATTGAGGAGCAACATGGATAAGCATGGGGTAGGGGGCATATACAAATCTCTTCAGTGTGTCAAGTGAGGAACCTTCAACTGATCTTATGCCCAACAATCGTTGGTAAGAAATTTAGTCAAGCATTGTCTGGAAGGCCATGGTGTTTTCTCCCTCTGCGCAACATGTATACAAGTTTATCATATTTGCCAGAAGAGTAAAATCTACCACCCCCTATGTCCTTAATATATAGAACATATGGAAAAGGCTCAAGTCTCAATTATACTAGTTTGTAAGCCAGGAGTTCTTGGACACATAACCAAAAGAACTAAAATGCTCCAGTTTTGTATCAGCCAAAGAAAACAGCCTTGAATCCAGCACTCTTCCTGACAGATGTTAATGCCATGTAGACTTTAGGCTTCAAAGTGTGAGCTTCTTTTTCCATAGCTACTTTTCTTGTAAGCAGCCAACATATAAAGTGGGGAGGGGGGGTGGAATAAGTGAGGAATGGAGGAGAAAGGAAGGGCAAATCATATTAGAGACAGACAATGGAGTCTTGTTCTCAAATGTAAATGAAATCCAGCTGCTTTACAGCTGTGCCCTTCAGTGATACCAGCCAAAATATCAGGCAAAATGCAAGTGACTGTCATCCATTTGAAGCCAATGCAATTTCAAGTAGCCCAATGGAATCATGGCCAATTTGGTCACTCAGATATTAAGAATTTCAGTTCCAAACACAAGACATCCAGAATGTCCACTGGAGAAAATAATTTGGCCTATGTGCTTCCTAGCGAAATGAAATTTTGTAAGCAATTTTTACATGCTAAATGTTTATTACAAATAACAGCAAATCATCAAATAACAAACACATGATGGAAGAAATCAGCACACAAGAAGAGGAGTGAAAAAGAGAAAGTCATTTATTAAGATACACTTGATCTCAACAATGAAGTTATGCTGATTTTTTTTGCCCTATAGCTCTACCATGCAAAAAGATTTCCTTCTTGAGATGGGAAAACATTTGCTCTATTCACATTTTAATACACACTTGCTTAATTTCACACCTTTGAACTCATGGGGAAAAAGCAACTGTTATTATTCCCACAATTCTTCCAACTCTGTGATTTAACCTGACCATAACATATGTCCACAACAGTGGCATTATTAAAGGAAAAGTAGCGACATTTAGAGAAAATAAATTAGTATTAAAAACATGGATACATTAGCCAAAATATATTCAGTGAATATATTTTCTCATGAACTTTTAAAAAAAATAAGGATGCAGACAAATAAAATTTTAAAATGAAGGGAAAACAGAAATGTTAGAGATTTTTCATCCATTTTCTCCCAAAATTTTCAGATTTGTAAGTTAATCTATTCAGTATCCTTTAATAAAATAATATTTTGTCAAAGCTGTAAGATGCATTCTGGCTGATTTCGGATTTAATATTAAAGTATAGATTACATGCCAGTGCCTCAAGCTTGTGGTTGCTGCAATTTCCTCAGGTGTCCAGATGGCTGGTTTAGGAATTCTGAGGATTGAAGTCCATAGGTCATAAAGGGGCCATAGTTGCCCACCCTTGCTCTAAACCCATCCTGTCAAACTGGCAGCCTGCAGGCCGGATATGTCATGCGCAGGCCACACCCACCCCGGCTCCAGAAAGGCAAAAAACATCATGATATGTCACGATCCAGCCTGTGACGTGATCAAGTTT